TCACATCGCTTTTTATTAGCGCTCGACGAGGCGTGAAGAGGGCAGCGCCAGGTCGAGCGAGTAGCCGGTGCGCGGCTCGGGATGCTCCTCCTCGAAGCCGTGCTGGACGGCGGCGAGGGCAATCGCGACGGAGCGCTGGAAGCGCGAGATCGTAACTTCGGTGTCTTGCATGGCGGCACAGCAGAGCTTGCGCTGGGACTCGGAGAGGAGGTGCTGCTGCCCGTCTGCTCCTCGCTCAAGGGAGAGCCAGAGCTGCCACTGGTGCAGCTGAGAGCGGTGCACGACGCCCCACCTCGACGGATCCCGCGCGAGCGAGTCGCTGATCACGCGCGAGCAGTCGGCAAGCAGCGCCTGGTGATAATAGTCGGCCGTCGCATACGCCCACACCGTGTTGGACAGGTTCTGAGGGTTGAAGCCAGCCAGCTCGCCGCGCACCGCCACCTCCGCCACTGCCGCGTACAGCGCGTCCGCAGCCACGCCCGCCGTCGCATACGCCCACACCGTGTTGGACAGGTCCTGAGGGTTGAAGCCAGCCAGCCCGCCGCGCACCGCCGCCTCCGCCACCGCCGCGTACAGCGCGTCCGCAGCCACGCCCGCCGTCGCATACGCCCACACCGTGTTGGCCAGCTCCTGAGGCTTGAAGCCAGCCAGCCCGCCGCGCGCCGCTGCCTCCGCCACCGCCGCGTACAGCGCGTCCGCAGCCACGCCCGCCGTCGCATACGCCCACACCGTGTTGGCCAGGTTCTGAGGGTTGAAGCCAGCCAGCCCACCGCGCACCGCCGCCTCCGCCACCGCCGCGTACAGCGCGTCTGCAGCCACGCCCGCCGTCGCATACGCCCACACCGTGTTGGCCAGCTCCTGAGGCTTGAAGCTGGCCAGCCCGCCGCGCACCGCCGCCTCCGCCACCGCCGCGTACAGCGCGTCTGCAGCCACGCCCGCCGTCGCATACGCCCACACCGTGTTTGACAGGTTCTGAGGGTTGAAGCGAGCCAGCCCACCGCGCATCACCGCCTCCGCCACTGCCTCGTACAGCGCGTCTGCAGCCACGCCCGCCTTCGCATACGCCCACACCGTGTTGGCCAGCTCCTGAGGCTTGAAGCTGGCCAGCCCGCCGCGCACCGCCGCCTCCGCCACCGCCGCGTACAGCGCGTCTGCAGCCACGCCCGCCTTCGCATACGCCCACACTATGTTGGCCAGGTCCTGAGGCTTGAAGCCGGCCAGCCCGCCGCGCACCGCCGCCTCCGCCACCACCTCGTAGAGCGCGTCTGCAGCCACGCCCGCCGTCGCAAACGCCCACACCGTGATGGCCAGCCCCTGAGGGTTGAAGTGATCCAGCCCGCCGCGCATCACCGCCTCCGCCACTGCCTCGTACAGCGCGTCTGCAGCCACGCCCGCCTTCGCATACGCCCACACTATGTTGGCCATGTCCTGAGGCGTAAAGCCAGCCAGCCCGCCGCGCACCGCCGCCTCCGCCACCGCCGCGTACAGCGCGTCTGCAGCCACGCCCGCCTTCGCATACGCCCACACTATGTTGGCCAGCTCCTGAGGCTTGAAGTCAGCCAGCCTGCCGCGCACCGCCGCCTCCGCCACCGCCTCGTAGAGCGCGTCTGCAGCCACGCCCGCCGTCGCATACGCCCACACCGTGTTGGCCAGCCCCTGCGGGTTGAAGCTGGCCAGCCCGCCGCGCACCGCCGCCTCCGCCACCGCCGCGTACAGCGCGTCTGCAGCTTCGCCCGCCGTCGCATACGCCCACACCGTGTTGGCCAGGTTCTGAGGCGTAAAGCCAGCCAGCCCGCCGCGCACCGCCGCCTCCGCCACCGCCGCGTAGAGCGGGCGCACCACCCTCGATCGCAGGCCCGTGCACTTGGCGACGCCGTGAGCTATATTCGCCAGTGCTCTTGCATTGCACGACAGGACGAGGTCGACCGTGCGCTGCACCAGCCGCTCCAGCTGCTCCTCCTGCCGACGCTCGATGCGCTGCTTGCCCAGTTTGTTCCACAGGTTCGCAGCGTGGATGTGGTCTATGCTCGCGCTGTGGGCGGCAAAGAGCGCGAGCAGCTCGTCGGCGTCGCGGGCACGCGAGATGTGGGCGTTGAGCTGCGCGCCATTGAGCTGACCGCCGGCATTAGAGCTCTGTCTCTCGTCGCGCGATCCCCGCCCGCGCATTCGGTCTCTCTAAATTTGACCGGAGACATCAGTTTGAGGGGGGTGGGGCCCCCCCCGCGGGGGCAGCAGCCAGGCGCTGTTCACATAAACGCACAACCCCGTATCACTAGATCCGAGTAGAGGGGGCGAGCTCCGGCATGTGACCGGACGAGGTAGGTGGGATCCCAGCCACCCGCTCCTGCCATGGAATATGCCTCCAACCTCCGCCGTGCAGACACGATCCAGCAGTTTGGCTGCCACACCACCTCACCGAATAACTCCCCCCCCCCCCCCC